ATGGAGTGTCCTCTTTTTTCAATGTTCAAATATGGTAACCCTATTTGATCCTATGCATGTCGTGTTTCCATAGACAATGCTGATACGTTCATTGCATTTTCTGCAGGGTGCATATATTTGCAACAGACAAGGTGCACCCTGCATGCATTGTCTGATCATGTGTATCTAATACCATAGCAGGCAGCTCCAGAAATGCATTTCTTGCCCAGCTGGTGCATTCAGGAGATGCTCAGGGATTGGCAGCATTCCAGTCCCAATCTAGTCCCGTGCACTTTGTGAATACACATGAATGCATTCGCTGCATGTCCTCCCCTCTGAGCAAGACCCGAGGGATGAGGTGCATTTTCTGCATGCAGGAGACGATCCCATGCAGTTCGGGGAGCCCAGGCTGGTGGCAGGGGTGCATTTCTTGCACCGGGCACACGTGCGGGTCGGGTGCCCTGGTGAAAGACTGGCATATATTCATGCATTCGTTAAGGGGGTGGGAAGAAGAAGTGGAGGGGGCAGAGAAGGGGTGGGGTGGGAAGGGCAGGTGGGCTTGGTCCCCTGCTCCCCCCAGGTACATACCATGGGCATACTGGTGATGGTACTGTAGCTCACACTGGCCTCGTTGGCCGTGTGCTCCGCCTGGCTCCCATTAGCTGTCTCCCCGGCCTCGGCGCTGGGTGGTGCCGACTCCCGGCCCCGCAGTCTGCAAGGAAACATATCGGGACTGATGCATTAGCCTGCAGGGAAGGGTGTAGAATAGCCCCATGGGGAGGGAGAAAAGGGTGACACCAGTGTCGGAGGCTAGAGTGCAGGGGACTGGGATTGGTCAGGGGAGGGGAGATCTTACTGGGGGCTGGGGGGGCTGGAATACCTCAGGGGAAATGGCAGGGGATCTCAGTGGGATCTGGGAGGGGCAGTTGGGAGTCAGGGTGGGAGGCGTCAGACTTACTTGATCACACAGAGCCCGAGAAGGAATAAGCCAATGAGGCCCGCCAGCCCACAGGCCGTCCCGATGATCACCGTGTTGCCAGGATCCTTCGAACCTGCAAAAACACAGAGCACGGGGCATGGCTGGAAGTGAACCCAGGAGTCCTGGCTTCCAGACCCCCACTCATGTCCCAGAGCTGGGGATAGAATCTAGAAGTCCTGGATCCCAACTCCCCACCCCCAACTCTCCTCCCTGAGCTGGGGACAGAATCCAGGAGACAAAAGTCTCACCTCTCTGCAGGGGGCTGAGTTCAAAGTGCAGGGCGGCGTAACTCCCGTGGGGGTTGGAGCTGAGGCAGAAGATCGGGAGGCCCCTGTCCCCACTCCCCGTCCACATCAGGGCAGAATCATGGAATCATAGAATATCAGGGTTGGAAGGGACCTCAGGAGGTCATCTAGTCCCACTTCCTGCTCAAAGCAGGACTAATCCCAAACTAAATCATCCCAGCCAGGACTATGTCAAACCTGACCTTAAAAACCTCTAAGGAAGGAGATTCCACCACCTCCCTAGAGAACCCATTCCAGTGCTTCACCACCCTCCTAGTGAATTTTTTCCCTAATATCCAACCTAAACCTCCCCCACTGCACTTTGAGACAATTACTCCTTGTTCTGTCATCTGCTACCACTGAGAATAGTCTAGATCCATCCTCTTTGGAACACCCTTTCAGGTAGTTGAAAGCAGCTATTAAATCCCCCCTCACTCTTCTCTTCTGCAGACTAAATAATCCCAGTTCCCTCAGCCTCTCCTCATCAGTCATGTGCTCCAGCCCCCTAATCATTTTTGTTGCTCTTCTCTGGACTCTTTCCACATCCTTCTTGTAGTGTGGGGCCCAAAATGGACACAGTACTCCAGATGAGGCCTCACCAATATTGAATAGAGGGAAACGATCATGTCTCTCGATCTGCTGGCAATGCCCCTACTTATACAGACCAAAATGCTGTTAGCATTCTTGGCAACAAGGGTCACTGTCAACTCATATCCAGCTTCTTGTCCACTGTAACCCCTAGGTCCTTTTTTGCGGAACTGTTGCCTAGCCATTCGGTCCCTAGTCTATAACAGTGCATGGGATTCTTCCGTCTTAAGTGCCTGACTCTGCACTTCTCCTTGTTGAACCATATCAGATTACTTTTGGCCCAAGCCTGTAATTTGTCTAGGTCCCTCTGTAGCCTATCCCTACTCTCCAGTGTATCTACTACTCCTCCCAGTTTAGTGTCATCTGCAAACTTGCTGAGGGTGCAGTCCACGCCATCCTCCAGATCATTAATGAAGATATTGAACAAAACTGGCCCCAGGACCGACCCTTGGGGCACTCCGCTTGATACTGGCTGCCAACTAGACATGGAGCCATTGATCACTACCAGTTGAGCCCGATGATCTAGCCACCTTTCTATTCACCTTATAGTCCAGTTATCCAGCCCATACTTCTTTAACTTGCTGGCAAGAATACTGTGGGAGACAGTATCAAAAGCTTTGCTAAAGTCTAGGAATAACACATCCACTGCTTTCCCCTCATCCACAGAGCCAGTTATCTCATCATAGAAGGCAATTAGGTTACTCAGGCATGACTTGCCCTTGGTGAATCCATGCTGAGTGTTCCTGATCACTTTCCTCTCCTCTAAGTGCTTCAGAACTGATTCCAGGAGGACCTGCTCCATGATTTTTCCAGGGACTGAGGTGAGGCTGACTGGCCTGTAGTTCCCCGGATCCTCCTCCTTCCCTTTTTTAAAGATGGGCACTACATTCGCCTTTTTCCAGTCATCCGGGACCTCCCCCGATCACCATGAGTTTTCAAAGATAATGGCTAATGGCTCTGCAATCTCACCCGCCAACTCCTTTAGCACCCTCGGATGCAATGCATCCAGCTCCATGGACTTGTGCTTATCCAGCTTTTCTAAATAGTCCCGAACCACTTCTTTCTCCTCAGAGGACTGCTCACCTACTCCCCATGCTGTGTTGCCCAGTGCAGCCATCTGGGAACTGACCTTGTTCGTGAAGAGAGAGGCAAAAAAGCATTGAGTACGTTAGCTTTTTCCACATCCTATGTCACTAGGTAGCCTCCCTCATTCAGTAAGGGGCCCACACTTCCCTGGACTTTCTTCTTCTTGCTAACATACCTGAAGAAACCCTTCTTGATACTCTTAACATCTCTTGTACCTGTAACTCCAGGTGTGATTTGGCCTTCCTGATTTCACTCCTGCATGCCTGAGCAATATTTTTACACTCCTCCCTGGTCATTTGTCCAATCTTCCGCTTCTTGTAAGCTTCTTTTTTGTCAAGTATCAGAGGGGTAACCATGTTAGTCTGAATCTGTAAAAAGCAACTGAGGGTCCTGTGGCACCTTTAAGACTAACAGAAGTATTGGGAGCATAAGCTTTCGCGGGTAAGAACCTCACTTAAGTAATGGACCATTACTTGCATCTGAAGAAGTGAGGTTCTTACCCACGAAAGCTTATGCTCCCTATACTTCTGTTAGTCTTAATGGTGCCACAGGACCCTCTGTTGCTTCTTTTTTGTGTTTAAGATCAGCAAGGATTTCACTGTTTAGCCAAGCTGGTCACCTGCCATATTTACTATTCTTTCTACACATCGAGATGTTTTGTTCCTGCAACCGCAATAAGGATTCTTTAAAATACAACCAGCTCTCCTGGACTCCTGGACTCCTTCCCCTTCGAGTTATTTTCCCACGGGATCCTGCCCATCAGTTCCCCGAGGAGTCAAAGTCTGCTTTTCTGAAGTCTAGGGTCCGTATTCTGCTGCTCTCCTTCCTTCCGTGTGTCAGGATCCTGAACTCGACCATCTCATGGTCACTGTCTACCAGGTTCCCATCCACTTTTGCTTCCCCTACTAATTTTTCCTGGTTTGTGAGCAGCAGGTTTAGAAGAGCTCTGCCCCTAGCTGGTTCCTCTGTCACTTGCACCAGGAAATTGTCCCTACACTTTTCTGACAGTCTCGGCCCCCTGGGCCCACGAGCTGAACTGCAGGGTCCCCTGTGAGCCGTTCCCAGCCAGGGGCTCCCCGTCCACCTGCCACTGGTGCCGGGGAGGGGAGTGGGAGCACAGGGAGCAGCTGCAGCTGATGCTGAACCCCTGGCACTGCCAGGATGAGTTCAATCCAGTCCCCGGCTGGGGGCTGTCTGGGGAGAGCAGGAGACACAGCGACAATACTCAGAGAATGAAACCCAGTGGTAGGGAGTCCCGCGGGTTAACCCCACTCACACCTGGTGTCAGGGAGTCCTGTGGATTAACCTGATTCACACTCAATGAGCAGCTGGAACGTCCCCTGGGTAGAGCTCTCTTTCTGGATCCAGCACCTGTACAGCCCCCTGTCCTCAGCCATCATGTTGGGCAGCTCCAGCCACAGACGATTCACCCCCATGGGGCGGGCGCCCCCAACAGCTCGGCTCCCCCTCACCCAGCCCAGCTCCGTGGCTGCTGGCGAGGGAGTAGAGGAACCCCAGGGAGACACCCTCCCAGGCTGTGAGCTGTGAACCGTTGGCCACCAGGGCGCCGGGATCTGGGAACAGGAATAACAAGAAGCGACTCGCACCCTGAGCCAGCCAGTCCCTGCCTGGGGGGGGGAAATCAGGGCCAGCGCCCCCTAGAGTGGAAAGTCCCTGTGCCCCACTCCCCACCCCCTAGCGATACATTGGAATAGCTGGTAGTCCTTCCTGTTAGCTCTGGAGATGGTGATTTGCAAAGTGCTCACCGGAGCTGAAATACCCACGGCAACATGTTAGATTGGAGAGCGCCCCCCACTGACCCCCTGCCACTCTGGCTGCAGCACAGCGCCCCCTAGCACCTTACACTGCCCGTGCACATGCAGGGTACGGCTGGCTGACCCATAGAAATTATTCTCTCAGCACCGATACTCCCCAGCGTCCCCTCTGCTGAGATTCGGCAGCTCCAGGCGCCCGTCCCCTCCCTGGCCGGAGCTCAGGGACTCATTCCCCTTGGCCCAGCTCAAGTTGGCCTCCAGTCTGCTCGAAGCCTCACAGCCCAGACTCAGGGAGTCGCCCTCCTGGGTCTCCAGGACATAATGTCATGCTCAGCCTTCAATGGGGTGGCACTGGAGGAGACGAGCAGGCAGGTTAGGCCCCCCCAGAGATCCTCTGACAAGGAAGTGAGATTCAGCCACCTCTGGGGTGGGAAACGGGGGCTGTTTTCATGAGGAGCCCTCGCCCAGTGTGGAGACATAGCCAACTCTGGGGTTGGAGCACAATCTTGGTGACTTTCCATGGCAGCAGGTCTCTGTCGCAGAGATTGGTCCCTGACCCATCTCGTCCCCACTGCCCAGCGCCACCTTAATGCCACCCCTGGGTCTGGACACAGAGGGAACTGGGCCTGCTCCCCCCACACCCTCCAAACAGTCCTGTGGCTGCCTCGGGCTCTGCTCACCAGGCATGAACCAGCCTAGCCTGGTACCTGGCCCTGAGCACGGGCAGAGGGTGACTAGGAGGCATTTGCTGATTCCTGGGGCTCGCAGCGCGGCCTCTCACCGAGGTGTCCATCCGTGATCAGGTTCCCAGTGGTGTTGGGGGGCCTGGTCGGGTTTGTAACACAAACCAGACAGGGGGGATCAGGGAGGCTGGACAGCAGTGGGAGGGGGGGATCGCTAGTCATCACTGAGCCTAGACATGGACCCTCGCTGTGAGCTCAGCTGGGGGATGGGAAAGTCCCTGAAGTGACACAAGACCCAGGGGCCAGCTTAGGGCCACGCTGGGGAACCAGAACCATGGGAAATGGAAACCCAAAGGACCAAAACTTGTTGGTCAAAATTGGGCCTAATTGTCAGAGTCACTAACGAGGGTCTGGGCTGCTTCCACCAGGGTACTTGAGCGAGCGTCACCAGCACCACTGTCTGCCGGGTGCCTGATCATTCAGCGTCCTGCTCCCCAAATATGTCCTCCCCAGGGGTCTAAATAACATCACTCCCAACCCTCACCCCAGACCCAGCCACCACCAGGGACATCAGACACCCCCGTTATAGGTCCTTTCCCTTCCTCCTCATTTTGTCTCCCCAGCCCTCTCCTTTTTCCCTCTGGCTTAGCTGGACAGGCCTGGATATTTTGCAGACCGGGTGCGCCCAGAGGGGCAGCTAAAAGTAACACGTAGAACAGCCGGAGGCTAACACTGGCTGGCCAGGCCTGGCAGGGTCCATCCACGCTGCCCTCAAAGTCCCGCGGCGCCGAGCCTCAGAGCCTGGGTCTGTTGGGTCGGGCTCGTGGAGCTCGGGCTGCGGGTCTTTGATTGCAGCGCGGACGTTTCCTCCGAGGTCTGTGTAGATGTTCAGGGTCAAGCTGGGGCCTGGACTTAGATGCAGGCGGGCGACTGGAGGGGTGGGTTAATTCTAAAACTCCCTACGGCTGAAGGGAACAAGGAACATCCTTACACTGATGCCTGATTTGATCAAAGGCGGCCGCTAATTTTTCCTCTGCCCTGGATCTGCAGCACGAGGCTCACAGGCCATTTAACGGGGGTTTGCCCTGGGGCAGGGCAGGCCGAGGTCTCTGGGCACCTAGCCCGGAGCGTGTTTAGTGCCGGACAGTGACTGGGTCCTATTAACACTCTGCCCCATATAGAGCATCCACTGATCCCAGCAGAAAGGGCAGGGGGTGGAGGAGACATGGTGGAACAGCCTGGGGGGATCTCAGAGGGAACTGGGTTGGCTGGTCTCAGGCGAAATCCCAACAAGAGGGATTGGAATGGGGGGTGTGGATCACAGCACAGAAGGATTCTGGGGGCAGGGCAGGTCAGCGGTAGAGAGGGGAGCCATAGCCAAAGGGGGCAGGAAGGGGTTAAGATCCGAAGGGAGAAGGGGCTGCAGGGTGTGGAGGGAAGGGGCCTGGAGTAGAATTGGCTGAGGGTGCATGGTGCGGGGTGGGGATCCCAGCACAGGGCAGGGTTGTGGGAGGGGCTGGAGCGCAGGACTGGGGAGCCCAAGAGGGTGGGGATCCCAGCAAAGGGAAGAGATTGGGGAGGAGCTGGAGGGCAGGGCTGGGGAGCCCAAGGGGGTGGGGATCCCAGCAAAGGGCTGAGTTGGGGGTGGGGCTGGAGGGCAGGGCTGCGGAGCCCATGTGTGGGAACCCAGCAGAGGGAGTTGGGGGCCGGCATTGAGGGGTTGGGGGGTGGGTCACTCACAGCTGACGTGGAGCCGGATGGTTCTGGTGGTGGAAGGTCCCTGTGGTGGGTAGTAGGTGATGTTGCAGACGAGCTCTTTGCCATTATCTCCCAGGGTGGGTGTGAAGCGGAACACGGAGCTGTGGGCCCAGGTGCCATTTGCCAGCTCGGCTGAGACGTTCTGGGCTGTGTCATTGAACGGCCCCGTCCAGGCGACTCGGGGAGGGGTCCCGTAGCAGCGCCCAGGGGCCGTGCAGGTTATAGTCACTGGCTCCCCAGCCACCAGCATCCATGGCATCCCCCGTGCCGGTGAGATCTGGATCTCTGGCTCCTCCATCAGCCCTGAGACACGAGGAGAGGAGAGAGAATCACTCGGGGACATGGGGCATTTGCCCTTTAGGGGCACTGGGTCCAATCCGGCCCCAGGGCAGGGACTGGCTGGCTCAGGGGGGCTGATGAGCAGGGTCATAAATATAGAGGGAAGAGTAACAACTTTATGTATCCAGTTGAATAAAATCCCTCTTTGGCAGCTGTACTAAATCGCCTTCCCTGTAAGGGATTAATCCGCTCAAATAACCTAGTTGGCTCCTTACCAGAAGGACCAATGAGGAAAGAAGATACTTTCAAATGTGGGGGAGTGGGGGGAGGATTTGTTTGTTGCTCTCTCTTCATTGTTCCCTCTCTGGACGGAGGGAGAGACCAAGCAGGTACAACATCTCCTGCAAATATACCTGGAATAATAGATCTAAACCCACAGAAATTGTAAGTAGGCAGGGAAGGGCGTTGGTTATCTTTTGTTTTAGCTTGTGAATTTTCCTATGCTACAGATGTAGTTTGATTCCTGTTTTTGTAACTGGGAAGCTAAGCAAGAGGGGAATCCTCTGTGTTTTAAATCTTCTGTTTACCCTGTGAAGTTACCTTCCAAACTGATTTTGCAGCTGTGATTCTTTTTTTATATATATAAATAAAGTTCTTCTTTTAAGAACCTGATTGATTTTCAGTGTCCTGAAGACAGAGAGTCTGGTCTGTGCTCACATTGCTAACCAATTGGTTGGTATATTATTTCAAGGCTCCAGGGGAAAGGAGGTGAAGGGCCTTGTGGGGGATAATTTGAGAGGATAGGGATTCCAAGTTACCCTGCCCTGAATTTTTCTATAAATCACGTGGTGGTGACAGCAATACCGTCCAAGGAGAAGGGAAGGAATTTGTGCCTTGGGGAAGTTATTAACCTAAGGTGGTAGAATATAAGGGGTCTTTCCTGCTGGTCTCCACACCTGTACCCCAGAGTTCAGAGTGGGGGGGGGAACCCTCACAAGTGGTGACTGCGGCTGCTCTTACCTGGCACGGAGATCGTGAGCGCAGGGACAGTGACATCGGCATTGGAGCGGTAAGTGTGTTCAAATGAGCCTTTCTCGATGGAAAGGATATAAATCCCCGCATCCATCCGTCGGGCATCATTGATTTGCAGGGAGCAATCGCCGTTCGCTGGATCCCCCGTCAGCCGGAACCGGCCCTGGGTCTCCTGCGACACCCCAGCGCTGGAGAGACTGCTGGCCACAGGAGGATCCTGGCCCACAGTAGCAGGCTCCTTGTACCATTGTATGTCTAGCTGGGCCGAGGGGTTGTCGGTGTCATACGAGGCTGGGTACGTGAAGTTGCAGGGGACGAGAACGCAGAGACCTTCCTGCACAGACACCGACTGCGGCACC